CCCAAAACCCCAAAACCCCAAAACCCCAAAACCCCAAAACCCCAAAACCCCTGAGTTCAGTAAGTTTCTCACATCTGACTAATTATATTTCCTATAAAGATATAATGAAAATTTTATAGTTAAAATTTAAGAATAATGCAAGATAATTTGACAACACTTAAGGTAATTGTAGTAGGAGACCAAAATGTTGGCAAAACTCATATCATCACATAGTTTTGTATTGGATAAATACCATCAAATATTAAGTCAACTCTTGGAGTTGATTTTTAAACCAAAGTAATCAGGGATAACTTATCTGGTGAATCAGCTAAATTACTTATATATGATACAGCAGGTGAAGAAAAATTTCATGCAATAGCAGCATTACATTACAAAAAGGCTAAAGGATGCGTGATTGTCTATGATGTGACTAATCGTAAAAGTTTTGAGAATGTTGAGAGATGGCTCAATGATGCTAGGAACCTAGCAGATTAAGATTGTATAATCATGTTGTTAGGAAACAAGTGTGATACAGATGACAAAACATTGCTTAATTAATCTGGATAAGGCAGGTAACTGATGAATGAGAGGGAAGTCTCTTTCGAGGAAGGTGCTAGCTTTGCAAATATTAATAACTTATCTTTCTTTGAAGTATCTGCTATTCAAAAAATAAACATCAAGGAATCGTTTGGAATGCTTGGATCTTAAATAATACAACTGAACTAAAGTTTACTATTAGCTAAAGGCATTAAAGGTGGGAATAAATAAGAATCTGCTAAGAAGCCAATTAGACTTCAAAGATCAAGATTTGAATGCTGTATATAGGATGGAAGAGAAAAAATTGATGAAGACTATGAACCTAAGTCCAGATGCTGCTGATTGTCATAAATGAATTAAATATTTATTGAATCGAGTAATTAACGAGTATAGTTTTTTAGTTTAAAATTAATGCTTATACATTTATTACTCAAAACTCTTGATCTATCATTTTCACAAGTTCAGTTATAGGTTTATATTAAGCACTTTAGCAAAACCACTCCCTGAACCATCCTTAAATTGCCACATGGAGCATTTTCTCTTAGTCTTGCGTAAGCTATGCTCCTTTTATTTTATTCTGGATATCTTTGAAATGCTCCATCCTAATTGACAATACTTCTAAATACTCAGTAGGACAAAGGAATAATTGATTATCTACAAATTTCTTTGGCAAGGACATTTTCATGAAATCTACAGGCTGCATTAAAGTGAAGCATTATTCTCTGCCTGCCATTACGATAGGCCTGGAGAAATTATTTATATTCTCTAGTACTTTTTATTAGTTGATCGGAGCTACTAAGCTACCTGGCTAGATGAAAATAATGTCAGCTGCTCTTAAATGATTCATAATTTCAAAGTAAGAGGAGTTGTGTGGGGCCATTATAAGGCCAATTGTATCACCATAGATAATAGGAGGGCATAGCTAGGAATATGAATGTAACGTTGATTCTACGCAATTACTAGTTCTAACATAATTGGCTGCAACTGTGATTTGGGTATTTTAGCACTTGTCGATTGAAAATGTCTTATTTACTGCAGCAATCATAATTGTACAATTGATGCAATTACTCACCTAGATGAAGCCAACATTAGTGTCTACATAGATATAGCTATCTTCGCAGTTTACGATTCTGACATCCTTGTTTTAAAGTGCTGAATCCTTTATTGTAACACATTTATTAAGTCCATTCATATATACAATCTCATCTTCGGGCTCATGAGGAGAAATTATTTGTCCAAGCCAATCAATGATTACATTCATGTGAACTTTAACCTATTGATTGCTTGGCTAAAAGAATGGGGTTAGCTATGCCAATGTTTATGATGCACTAATTTTAGAGCCAGCTGCTTGCTGAATTTTAAAAAGTACTCTCAAGGTATTGAACTCTGTTGCACTAAGTGAGACTTCTGTACTGTGAATATCAGTAGAAATGACTCTCAATAATAGCTTAAGGTTGCTTTTAATGAAATGCTAAATTATTTGATATTCATTTTGAGTGTAGTTGACTTTAGTATATTTAGACCTTGGACTTGCTTAGGTGGTATTGTACATTTAACTATTATTGTCTTTCATTCCCCAGCTATCTTTAGCAAGATTACTCCTTGATTCACTTGCAAATTTACTTTATGTTGAATACAGTTAAATTGCAATGTATATTGCAAAGCATCGCACATCCACTTGGTATTCAGTAATAGGTAAATCCTTTGTGTTATTCTGATTAATAAGTGATTGATTTTCAATTTCCTCAAGCAAGGCTCTGTATGTCAAAAAATACACTTGCGCATCTTATTCAGTGCACTATGGCCAATATCTAGTCGCTTAATCCACCCATTAGTGTAGCTTTATCTTGTAGTCTATGGACGAGAGCAAGTTAAGATTTGTGAATAAATTAATTATGACACTAGAATTAAGTTTGCCTTGTGTTGGGAAGAGTCCATGCTCAAATAGTTCAGTTCTGATGGCTAATGTTACCATTTTAAATAATAATTTAAATTTGAACTCTAAACTATAATGAGTTAAATATATTGCGTATAAAGATAATATTATACTTAAACATATTTCAAACAAAATTTTAATCAAATTAAGGGCATTATTGGCTTTTATCTTAAGAATTTTAATCTAAAATTTAGATTGGTTTGACTCTTTACCTTAGAGCTAATCCCTATTAGAATCTTATATTCCAAATAAACAAGTATGCATCTTGGATTTAGTCTCAAGTAGTCATTTAGGTTTTTCCTTAGTCTTAGCATTCAAAGCATCTCTAATAAAACTATGGCATTCAGCTATTTGCTTATAATATTTACTCTTCACATTACTTGATGACCCTTCCTCGCTATCCTTAAACAAGATCTTAGAGTCATTTTAATCTTCTACCTTCTAGAATAGATATATCTTTTCATTGTATGTTGAATTGAACTTTGTTGGAATTGCTTTACTCTTGGCTATGAATTACAAGAATTCATTGTCAATATCCTTCGACTTAGATATCTTTTCTTTTTTAGAGAAGGAATCCAGCATCTCTGCAAAGGAATCCTTTTTGCTTAACAGCAAGTCTGCTTGATTAATCAAATTCATTTATTCTCTTCTTTTAATTGCCATCTTCTTTTGATATCTCTTTTTATTTTTCAGTAAAATATTCGTATCTGCTAAATTATCTCTATTCAACATATCAGGAGATCTGTAACCAACCTACTAAGTTTTATTGTAGTTCTAGTTATCAAGGTCAATATTAGTTGAGGCAAATGGGGTTGTTACTCTAAATTATCTTTGCATGCTCTCCTCTCTTTTAGCAAATTGATAACTGACAACTCTGCTATTAACTTGGGAAGATTTTCCACGACTACTGAAAAATCTTGAATCTCTAATATCAAACTATTGTTAATCAGTGTAAAGTTTGACTTTAGATCGTTTTGTAGGTTTAATCACCTGAGGCTAATATTTAAATCTTTTCATTTCTTCTTTGGGTCCATATTCATAGAATGTGTTGGTATCATGTTTGATATTTGAAATTTACAGATCTTCCTATTCAGTAATAGATTTAACTTCGTCATCTCTTTCATTGGATTCATCATCGTTTTACAAATCAAGAATTTCTTTATCCCTAATCTGCTATGAACTCAAAAGTCTTGGCTCATTCTTCTTCTACACACTGAGGTACATTTTTTGGCTCTCTAATGCACTATTCCTTGCTTAAGACTATAGAATTTTCTTTGTCAGCCTATCTAATGGAGGGGATTACTGCATCTTATTATAGTAATATTCTGAGCGATCTTACTTTTCAATAACTCTTTAATGATAGTATTGATTCACATGAGGAATGTACTCCTCATCACTCTCTCTTTTTGTTTAAAGCTGGGAAGAAGTGAATGTTGCGCGAAACTAGTCTGGAGATCTATTGTTACTTTAATTGTTTTAAATGACGTTATTTATGTTGTTCTATGACATAACTGTTTCACTTTGATATGAAGATTTTCTGAAAGGTGTACCAGGGGCTCCTTAACTATCTTACTTGCGAAAGGGGTTATTATTTGATGATACTTGCATGCTCATTTTAGCTTTCTAGTAATGCTGTAAGTTTGTGGGATACATCCTTTATGGCTATAAAGATATTAAGCATTGATTTAAATTGGAATATAACTCTTACATTTATGCATTTAGCAATGGTGAACTAGTTAGTGGGAGTCTTTTGTTTTCCAAAAAGGTCTTCATAGCAGACGGGATGAGGTTAAGACTCTTTTCTTTTTTTAACAAACAGTAATTGCTATCCATTAGAGCCTGCGAACATACTGATTCTATCTTGAGCTGTATAAGTCTGTGGATTTTCTTCAAGTTTTGGTTGGCTGGCTTCTCAGATTCCATAAGATGAGTTCTGCTTATGATAAGTCTAGCCTAGCATAAGCTACAGATCTGGATGATTCTCGGAAATGTAATTATCGGAGAATCTGAGCTGTTTTCTCATTTATTAACTAAAAGTTTATTTTTATTTTACTACAACTTTTCAGTCTTCAGTTGATTCACGGGGTTTTGGGGTTTTGGGGTTTTGGGG